GATAACATTTTAGTAATAGCACTTAACAATCAGAAAAGATAAGTAAATCACCTAACTTTTCATTTTCAGTTTTGTATAATTTTACATTTGGTACTTGATGACTTACTCTTGGCATGCGATAAGCTAGTATAACGCAACAAACATTTAATGATGGCCTACTGTGTTGTAGTCACTGTGCTAATTTCTAGGTATACAGCGTTGGATAAAACTGGGGTTCTGCACTTACAGAGCTCAGATATGGATGGAATCACAAAAACAGATACTGTAGTACAGTACAGTCACTGTAATGTAGAGAAGTGGGAAGAATGATCAAAGAAAGCATTAAGGGAAGAGATCATGTCTGAACTACATGTTAAAGGATCAGAGAAAGAGACAGAGAGGGAAAAACAGAGGTGAGGGAAATGCGAATGTGAGCAGAGGACCAACTAGGGGAGAACAAGAGCAAAGGCACATTGGTAAGAAACATCATGACATATTCTGGAAATATAAGCATATGTGTGTTGTAGGAGTATAGATAAGGGACAGAGAACAATGCGGGGCGCGGGGTGGGGGGCACCTGGGTGGCTCAGTGTTGAACGGTTGAGCGTCCAACTTCGGCTCAGGTCATGATCTCACGGTTCTTGGGCTTGAGCCCCATATTGGGCTCTGTGCTGACAGCTCAGAGCCTGGAGCCTGCTTCGGATTCTGTGTGTGTGTCTCTCTCTGCCCCCCCCACCTCACGTTCTCTCTCTCCTTCAAAAATAAGTAAACATTAAAAAAAGAATGATGGAGGGGCGCCTGGGTGGCTCAGTCAGTTAAGCGTCCGACTTCAGCTCAGGTCACGATCTCACGGTCCATGGGTTCAAGCCCCGCGTCGGGCTCTGGGCTGATGGCTCAGAGCCTGGAGCCTGCTTCCAATTCTGTGTCTCCCTCTCTTTCTACCCCTCCCCCGTTCATGCTCTGTCTCTCTCTGTCTCAAAAATTAATTAATTTATTAATAAAAAAGTTTAAAAAAAAGTTAAAAAAAGAATGATAGATATGGAACCAGATTATGGAGGGATTTTTATGCCATGTTTAGGATCTTGAATTTCTGTCTCTTTCTAGGCTTTGGGAAGCCATTGAAGACTTTTAAGCAGGGACCTGATTTGGTTGTAGTTAGGTTTAATAGAATACTTTGGTAGCTGTTGTGAATGATAAAGTTAAGGGGAAAAGATTGGAGGCAGGGAAGGCATTTGTGAAATAGTTGGCTAAACAAGAGCTGATGGGGGCTTAAAGTGGGCTGTGTTGATAGAAATGGAGAAAAGGGAACAGATTTCGGACTCCTTTCATTTGTTGTTGGTAAATTGTAAATTCATTAGAACTTGGTACTTAGAAATGGCCAATGGGGGAGAAGTAGACAAGTTTAAGTCCAGAGTTCCTAGCTGGGGCAACTGCATGGATAATGATGATACCAAACAAAGAGAGAATACATGAGTAAGAATCAATTTAGAAGGTAAGGAGATTAGTGTAGGGTATTTTGAGATGGTAGTAAAATATCTAGTGTGGGAGGTCTAACAAGGCAATTGACCTTTTGAATCTGATGCTGTGGGATGTGACTGGGGACCCTGGGATAGAAACCATGGGACCATATATAGGAGAGTAAATGGGCTGAGAAGAAAATAAAAGAAGGCAAAAGACAAGATCTTGGGGAGCATAAAGGTTTCAGAGTCAATCAGAGAGAAAGAAGCCCTACAAAGGAAAGAAGGAGCTAACCAAAAACAGATGAAAGAATCATTGAGCCAGCTTGTAGATCTCAGCCAGCTGAGACTAGAAACTACACACTTTTAATGGAACAACTCAATATAGATGTGATTTGCTTAGATGCCGTCTATAGCCTAAATAAGTGATGGAGATCAGAATGTGGTATTAGTCTAAGACTGAGATTTTACCAGGCTGGTACAGTGAAAAGTTATGAGTTTAGGGAAATTAAGGTGTTGAATTTAGAGCAGTTTAGATGATAAGCTATGACAAATGTTGCATATTACGTGCTATGCATTATTCTTTATAAATATTAACTCATTTAATCCTTGCAACCAGCCTGGTAAAACCTCAGTCCTAGAATGTAAGTTCCATGAGGCCAGGAGGTTTATTTTGTAGTCTGTCTGTATTCTCAGTGCCTGTAATACAGAATGGGCTCAAATGCTTGCTGAATAAGCATAAAGAACATTATTATACAGACATGGAAACTGAGTAAGGAGAGGTTAATTAATTAATGCTATTTAGTGGCAGAGGTAGTAGGCAAGGGCATGAGTCTAGGAGAGGGAGCTGGTCAAAAACCTGAGGGATTCTAGGACTGAAGCACTCTATGGGGTATAGTAGAAATGAAGGCAGGGAGATATAGAAGAAGAGGAAGTCTTGTCAGAGAGTTCCATGTTGGCGTTTACAGTTTGTTGAGTTGGAGATTGTTCTGGGTGACGACAAAGGGTCAGGTCTTAGGAATAGAGTTGAGTAGAAGATGTTCATTGTTGAAGTTCTGTGGGTGTATTTGTAGATGTTGAAAGATTCTAAGAATACAATAGAGTTTGGGTAGAAAGGAAGATTATGATACAGTCTTTAATAAATAAAGAGGTGTTACATGGAGATGTGTAGATGAGGAACAATAGTGGAATAGATGAATGTCATTTGGATAATCTTATTGGAAAACTTTGAAAGTACTCAGAATATAAATACAAATGTTTAAAATTTTGCCTGGTATTGCAGCCACACTTCAGATTGAATTCTCTGTGTTACATTTGTCCTCTACAAAAAAATCTTCCACGCTTTTCTTAATAGAGTAGTGGAGCTAAATTTTTTAATTCATAGCAGCACGGCTTCACCGCTTTTTGTTTGGTAGCTGTTGAGTACACATCCCAAAGATGATAAAAACAAAATTCACTTGCTCTTCTAAATCTTCTGCACTGCCCAGTGCATTGTCATTTGTTCCCAGTTCTCTTGCTGACCCTTTTACCCTCCCCCGCCCCCAAGTCTCTTTTTGAATGCTTTTGTTTCTCTTGAGAGCTTTCTTTCTATATTACATTGTGGCAGAGAAAAAAGTAAAATTTATTTTAGCACTAAATTATGGTTAACATTTTAAGTTGAACATTTTCAGAATGTTTGAATCAACGTTTGAACAATCAATTCTGTTTCATTTTAAAAAGATTATTCAATCTCCTATTTCATTTACTTTAAAAGGCTCTAATTTTTTTTCATATATTCTGATAGCATTGTAATTTCTGTCCTTGAGTATTTTCCTTCAGAAAAACATAAAAACCCAGTATATAACAGTGTGTTAAACCAAAAATTTAATTATTTATATTAAAGCATAGACTTGGAATTAAAGAATTTTCATTTTGCCATTGTATAGTTGTACCTGCTGATCCTTTTGTGGGTATATGTATGTGTCTTTCCCACAAATAAGTATCACCCTCTGAATAGCTGTTAGGAAATTCACAGTTAATCAAATATCTTATAAAGTATGTTTGTACAATGAAAAGGTTGGAAGAGATGATTTCCAAGGTGCCTTTTAGAGCGGATATACTATGTTTTGTGGTTCTCCATGCTTTGCCCACTTCAGATCTTAGTAAGCAGCCACCGAAATACTGCTACATGACCTTTGACACAGAACCCATGAATGCATCAAGTATGATTTCACTTTCACCTCCTTCTTTGTAAACCTAAATGCTTGTCAAATCAGATGTGTGTTTAGATCTTTTTGTTGAATGTGTCTTGAGGAGGAGAACAAAGCTTGGGGTCAACCTGGCATAATCCCGTTTATCTTTTTCTGTTATAGAGATTTGTTGGGGGCTGGGGTGACAGTCCTTTCTGAGGAGAAGGTGCGAATGGAGGTGGACTTGCCGTCTTCATACTTTCCCTGCAGCCTCACTGGGCCCTATTGATTTCCTATTGATTTTTAATAAAAGCAGATTAGGTGGGTTCCTGGTTGGTACTTCTGGTTCCCATTTGATCCAAGTACCCTGTTATAGGCACATTAACTGACAAATTAAATCAAGGCACTGTATTTGGAAATATCTCACTTTTCCGTTATCAGTAAATAAGAGTAGATTGTCTCATAGTGGTTAATATCATAAGAGGTTTTTCATGTGTTCAAGTATGTGTATAGTATGTATTAATTATGCTTTTCTGTATAAATTTTGTCAACTCTAAAATAGAAAATGTGTACTTAAATATACTTAAGTAAATATTTAGTATTAAGTTAGTATTTCAGTTTTACAGTAATGAAAATTGAAAATTTGTGGATCTTATTCTTTTTAACTTTCTCAGGTTCTGATAATCTGTTTGAAAATTAAGAAAATGCTTAAGTTCACATGACTTTTAGTAGCAGAAGCTACTAAATCTTACTGGCTATAATTGATTAGGAGCCGTGAACAGTCATTAATTGTTAAAATATGAGAAGGTTGTAGGGAATCATATGACAAAAGAACCAGTTACCTTTACAGTTTGTTCTCTGTACCTCAGGCACTTTGTTTCAGAAGAAAAGCTCCATTCAGCGCCTGGCGTGAACAGACCCTTACCGCCTTTTAGATGAGGATTGTAGGAAATTTCTTGCTAACTTGGACATTTAGGCTTTTTCAGGGTTATTTGGAACATACTGAGCTGGAGTTATGGAATGGTTGAGAACTTAACTAATTTTTTTTTGGTTGTTTTACTGAATCAGTGCTTAGTGATTATATGGTCTTTTAACAGATTTAATAAAGAAATATAGAAACTTAATGAAAAGTATTACAGGAGTTGATGTCCAATAATTTTAATATTGTAGAACATAGAAAATCAAAGTATTTAAAGATCTGTCTAGACTTTACTCGAAGATAGAAGATTTTTCTACCAAAAGAAAGTGTTTGGATTTTAATAATTTGGTGGGTGGAGAAGTGAGTTGTGGAGGTGGTTAAGCCAAGATTAACCAGTAACATGCTAAATATACAAATCCACAAGCATTTCACTAAATGATTTAGGCATTTTTGTTGACTGGTCTTTTCATTTACAGGGCTTTGAAGTCACTCCATTTATCTATAAATTCATTTAGCTGAAGATTAAAGCAGACATTGTGATATATGAAAACAGTTTTGGAGGTTTGTATTATATAATGTAATAAGTTCCATTAAGGCTGTTTAAAATAGAAACATTAATTTTACCCTTGAGAATTGTTTCAGTTATAGGAAAGTAGACTGATAACCTAAAATTAATTTTTTCTCGGAGTTTGTCACATTCTTTAGCTAATATGGTGAATATAGACCCAGTGTGCTATAGGTTGTCCAGCTATACAAAACTACTTTCCAGAAGCCTTGATGTTTCCCAAAAATGTATAAAGACAAAACAAAACAAAATCTTAACACCTTATATGGGAGAGAAACCCTATTATGGGTAATGGCATTTATCTTGACTAAGCAGAAGACCTTAGTGACTAGTAGCCTACAAGGAGAGTGATCAAAGGTTTTTTAGCAGAGACAACCTTATTCATTTATAGGAATCATCATGTTATCAGGGAAATCAACTTCTCTAGATCTTCAGGAGGTTTTTGAAAATGCTGGGAAAGCCCAGAAAACTTTTCTGTGCAGGCTGTCGCAGAAAGGTGAGAATGTTTTCTTTTACTCCAAGGGCCTTGCCACTTTTGAAAAGGATTTGAAAAAGACTGAGAGAAATGAAATACAGATTTTTAAATTGGAAAGGGAGTTAAAGAAACCCATTTGGTCTGGTCATTTTATAGAAGGAACTGAGAAGCTCAGAAAGTTACGTGATTTGGTGTAGTTCACAGAGCTAGTTTGAGGTGGAAGGTACAATTTCCTTACTGGGTTTAGTTGTTTAAAAGTGGGAACAGTCATTGTTAAAATGTGAGGAGGTTACAGGGGACTATATGACAGAACTACTAGTTAACTTTACAGTTTGTTCACTCTACCTCAGCCACTTTATTTCAGAAGAAACACTGTTCAGTGACTTGTGTGAGAGACTCTGACCTTCCTACAAATAGGAATTATGGGAAATTTCTTGCCAACGTGGGTGTTTCAGCTACTTCAGGTTATTTTTAGGAACCAGACAATTTTTCAGAATCCTAGTTAGGGAGACTAAATAGAAAGAGAGTATAAGAGGGTTGTTGATATATGGAAACCTTAGACCCAAAATAAAGATAGAATGATGTGAGTTCCTTACTTAAAATGTGACTGAAACAGTGCCTTTTGAGATGTTTTACCATTTGTCCTTAATAATCTATCTTAAATTAAATGGGTTTGAGGATAACTATTTCTTTTGGCAAAAAGTAAACATGTAAGTGGAACTTCCACATATCTGTTTTCCTTTTTCTCTTTTTGAGATAGATAAGGCATTTGAGTGTTTTTATCTAATATGTCTTGATAAATCAAGAACAGAGCACATACTGAAGAAAGTAGTGAAACAGTAACTAAAATAGAAAAAAATCCTGTTAGAAAAAAAATAAACATTTTTTACTGTCTCTTTAGCTGATTATAAAAGGAAGCTTTTACAAGCTTAATAACTTTTGTCAACATTCACATAAGTCCCATTTGTGTCCTGTTTCTGCCACATGTCATGCATGTTCAGTAATGTCAATTGTCAGGTCTTCTTTCACTATAGGTTACAGAATAAATAAGTGTGTTATCAGACTTTTGAGTCTTAAATAATATTAATATCCTTTGCACTTTTTTTTCTGCACTGTCTGGTTGATGATAGATGCACAGAATGGTTTTCTGTCCTCAGACTCTGCGTCTTCTAGTTCAGCCCCAAACTTGGGTTTAAGATTAGGCAAGATTTACACATTTTTAAGAGTGAGATTTTTGAAAGGCTTCTGTTGAAGATCACTGGAAGCTTTGATAAAGGATATTTAGTGGTTAATAGAGGACTTTAAAAATACTACTCAAATCACTTGGAAGATAATCATTCCAATTCTCCTAAGTAAAATGAAGTTCAGCTTTAAGGAGGGTCCTGAGGTTTTATTTAGGTTATAGGAAATTTATTTTCAGTCTGGAGTGATTATCAGTGCAGGTTTTTGTTCCCTATAAAGTTCTGGAGAAAGAAAATGAATTGTGCAATGCCAATTAGAAAAACAAGGCAGCTGGGGGTGTCTGGGTGGCTCAGCCGGTTAAGCATCCGACTTTGGCTCAGGTCATGATCTCGTGGTTCATGAGTTCGAGCCCCACATCGGGCTCTGTGCCGACAACTCAGAGCTTGGAGCCTGCTTCAGAATCTGTGACTCCCCCTTCTCTCTGTCCCCTCCCCAGCTCATGCTCTGTCTCTGTCTCTCAAAAAATAAATAAACGTTAAAAAAAATTTTAAAAATAAGGCAGCTGTATCTATTGGAGATCATTTTCTCTCCCTTACAATCTCTTCTTTAAAATAAAATTCCTCTCTTATTTTTGTCAGTCTTAATGTAATATAATGAATGTAAATGAAGAACTAAGGATTTGAGAAAATTTGTTTTGTGTACATTCATAAGTTTTTTAAGTTGTCTCCCTCTGCACATACACAGCACCACTTAACATAAGAAAGTTCCTTTTTTAACACTACTGTAAAATTTTAATAAACATTTCCAGTTGCTCCATTATAGTTCTTTTAATAGATATACCACCTCCTCTTATTATTGGCTACATATGTTATTAAATGTTTTTCTGATTATAAATACCCAACAAGAATATTTGTATATAAAGCTTATCTGACAGTTTATCCCAAGATAGAATCCCAGGAGTGGAATTATTGGGCAAACCCTGTTAAGCCTCACAGTACATATTGCTAAAGTGCTTTCCAAAAGGCCTTACGCATTTTATACTCTTCAGTATGAATTTCAGGATCCGTTTGGGAGGCTGGTGAAGACATGGAGCAGAGAGCACCAGATGGTGTCTGAAAACACGGTTTCTAATCTGTGCTGTGCCACAAACTAATTATGGGTATCTGGATTAATAACAGCACTTGTGTGGACCTCAGTTTCCTCACCGGAAATCTAGATGGATTTTAAGTACTCTCCCAGCTCTGATTCTCATTGGCTGGGGGGGGGGGGGGGGGGGGGGGGGGGGGGGG